CACCTTATAGGTGTGTTGATGTAAACTAACAGTTGAATCCTTACGATAAGGAGTTACGTTTCGGCCATAGAAGCTTTTGTTGGGGATGCCGAGGCGTTCAACTCATGCGCATTGAAAGTGCAGGAGATAAAATCCTGAATGTACGTCGGGAGTAAGTATTTTGTCAGTGCTGATATTAGGAGGGTATCCATCTCATGAGTGAACGACGAGGGCAGTAAGGGACTGCCTCGAAGCAGTTGCCTTTGTATCTGCGACGCAAACGTCATCATAGTGAATCGATGACCAGCGTCCGCGGATCATCTAGTGGATCACATTGTAAGTCGTTGTGACAGTACCGAAGTACACCACTTCCCCTGCTGGGGCGATCGTGTCTGAACAGTGACATTCCCTGGATTGTGATCTCCACATCCGTAACCTCTGAGTGCAAACAAGTTTCAGTTATTTAGATGATGTTCCTTGGGTTTGTTGTCTGATGCGACCGAAGCTCGGTAATTATACTGTTGAGGCATTGGACATTGATGTACACGCAGGGCAAGGTTTCTGTTCTCAGCAGCGATCCGAAAGACATATGGCTGAGATGATTTGTTGCGCCGAATGTTGTATAGTCCGCCGCTAGCAGTTCTCGTGGTATTATTAGCGAGTCGCTTGGAGTTGGGTTCGGTGATATCGTAAATAACCCCTCCAGCAACTCAGCTTACACGATGCACAGAGTAATTATGGGATGGCATAGGAATATCCTCACTTCTTTCAGATATGCCAACATTATGAACCCCCAATGGGGTCCTTAATTCTTCTGCCTGGTAAGGTGGTGCTTTAAATTGCATGACAGTTTCGATCGCCGCTATGAAGCGGAGCTCGGTTGGCAGTCTGTTCCGATGGGTTTGCCATCTTTCCGGTTTTCTAAGTGCCATCTTCGTAGTTAGTAGCACAAATTTGATGATCTTTGTGCGGCACTATTTGTAGCTTGCTAATCTTGCCGCGCTTGACAGAGAAGTGGCTATAACGTTATTCAAGATCAGGTTCTCCCGAATATAGCGCCACTGCTCCTGGTCTTGAGCCTCTGCATTCAATTCATCGTGCTCACGAGACTGGGGGACGCCATGGACAAAAATGTTTCTGGTTGTATTGCATAGGCGGAATTCTTCTAAGATTTAGTTTCACGCTTGCGCTTGCTCCATGGAATGTCTGGAAAGGCGCAGACTATACACGATCTGTTCTGGAGACGAGTTGCCGAAAGCAATACTAATTCTACTTCATCAACAGAGTTTAGCACAACCGCAAGAAGCGTGGCTTCACCATAGTGCTTGGAAATCTGGTGGCGGGTGATCAACGTCAAGTTGGTGAACTTAGTGGAAACACCGAGCAGGTTACTTATGTTGTCTCTGTTCATGCACCTGCTTCGCTTTCAATGAATCTGATGTCGATTCTTGTATGCTGATACATATTAAAGACATAACATCCCCCTGTTTCTTATTATCTTCCATGGAAATATGGGTCGTAGTTGGGAGACCGAGCAATTTGCAACACACCAGTGCAGCTTTGCCTCGCACGTTAGTCATGGGTTTGGTAATAGAAACATCAGTTGCAGCCAACACAAGCGGCCAGACTACCGCAAGCGAATAGCGCAGATGACTGGTCGCCTAGGCTGATTGGTCAATAGTTGGTTGCGCTCGTTTGACATGGTGTGGCTGCTGTAGAGGAAGAATCACACGAACGCAGCAGCTGCATTAGTTTTGAAGCGATATGTCTCTTCACTTCACGGCTTATGCAGGCTTGCTATGTTGTCAGTTACGCTAAGATTGCTTTCGTCGAATAAACCGTTTTCCATGGAGGACCCAGTTTAGCGCAACAAGCTGTGCAAACTTGCGCTAAATAACATGGGGATTTTGCAAAGTAAGTCAATTTTACCGTACTGGTGCGCCTAAATAAACAATTGACTGCACATTGCCTGGTGATGTTTTGACATATGATCGAAGAAGAAGCACTCCTAGTACTGGAAACAATGCAGTACGAAAAGTAGGACGACTCGGCTGCTCTGGAAAAAATCATCCGAAAATTCGCGACATTTGTGTAGGCTCGACTAAAGAGAATTTTTCGCGGTAGCTCTTTTTCACTAGAAACCGACGCTTCAACGAATTTACGGAGAACTACCATATGCAGATGAAGGTTTTGGTTCGTTCCCGTCATTTTTCAATTGTTTGACTGATAGTCACATCTGAGACAGATTCGCGCTAGGGACCATTGATGAAAATATCACAAGACATTTGTTGCGGCAACCGCATTAATCGCTCAGAAAATGCCTTGCTATATGCCACAGTGAATCGTTAGCTGCACACCACATCTAACAAATTCGGTTGCCGAATGATGAAGAGGTTTACGCCGTACCCATTCCGCGTGAAAAATTTCGAAGCCTGTTACTATAACACAGAAACTGGAAAATTCTGGACCATGCGACCCTCGATGTATCGCGATCAATGTCCTGTGTTAGGCCGTATTTGCGCCAAAGTTGGGCATACTGAATCGTTCCGTTCCGTAGTCCTATTCTTTCATATGCTTTTCCACTGAGCGATACAACCGCCTTTAGACTCGGATTATTCAATCACAGTGAGTGGTTAATCGGCAGACGGGACCAGATAATTGCATGTGAAGGCCGGTTTATTTTTTGTGGAGCGAGTCGAAACGTGGGTGAGCTGATACTAGACATAGAGAGAGGCGTGCATCAATATGGGGAGCGTGGCGATTGTCAGTGCTCAGGATGGCGCGGTGACCTAATCAAGGTGTCCCTAGGGAATTGGAATCGGTAGAAGCCCCGACCGAAGAATTGGTCACAACTAAGGGGACCACGGCGTGAATCTTGCACATCAGTTCTGACGCACTGGGGGAGGTGAGGTGTGCGGAAACAGGGTCACGCGAGCTGAATTTGTGTATGTATGCGGATTGGGGAACACACATGATGTAGTGCGACAACCAGTACGGGAAAATTGACTTACGTTTCAATAGCCCCAGGTTAATTGGAGCAATGTGTTTGCTTGCGGCTGTTGCGCCAGATGCCGGCTCCCCGGGAAAACGGTTTATGCGACAAAAGAATCTCAGCGTAAATGCCAACATAGCAAGCCTGCAGAATCCGTGATGTCAAGGAACTTATCTCTTATAAACTGATGACGATGCTGCGTTCGTGTGATTCTTCCTCTGTAGTAGCCACACCACCTCAAGGGAGCGCAGCTAACTTGAGTGACAGTCAGCCGAGGGCGACCAGTCCATGCGAGCGCTCGGTGCTTTGCGTGCGTGCAGTCTGATCAGCTTGTGGAGGAGTGGCAACAACGCGGGTGTCTTACTACCAAACCCAAGACTAATGTTGCTAGGGCAAAGCCTACACAGGTGTGTTGCGAAGGTGTGGGGGGCTCGGGGCGGCGAGGCCGGCGCGCGAGACGACCCAGACAGCCGCGAGAGAAAGGGCGGGGGGGGGAGAGCCAGGAAAGCAGTGGGGGATGGGCGAGGTCTTATATAAGATGATAGGGTGATAGGGTGGTCGTGCGGGGGGTACAAGAGGAAGTCGACAGTTCAGATTCTATTGGGGGGAAGAGAAAGCAGGTGAGCGAAAGGGGGAAGCAGGGGAGGACAGACTTAAGAGGTTTGAAGCTGCCCGGCGTGTTTTTTTGGCACCAATCTTTGTTTGATCAATAGTTGGTGTGATAGGGTTTGAGGAGGAAGGGCACGGACAAAAGTCTGAGCAATATAATCTATATATGGAGGGAGGGGCGCGAGCGATTGGGGCGGTGGTGCGAATCACGCGGGGTGGGTGGTGGTAGGGTGTGATTGGTGTGTGGCGGGCGGCAATCGGTGGAGGTGCGGGAGGGGGATGTGGTTGTATGGGTATGTAGCGAGGGGGGGAAGGGGCGAGGAAATGGGGGGCGGGAGAATGTGTAGATTAGAATAGTGTAAAGAAAGCTTCAGAATGAAGTCCGCCTAGTGGCGAAGACAACCAGTAACGGTGGGCCAGGGCGGTCCCCAGTAGTCGCGGGCGCACGATGAAGTGGTGGCAGAGCTCAAGAGCAGGAGCAAGTGGCCAATAATTCCGGAACCCTGGATCTTGAATGACGGTGTAGCCACTTCTCTGTCAAGCGCTGCAAGATCTGTCTGTGTCACAGCGAGACTAAAGTAGAGTGCCGCCCATAAGATCATGAAAGGTGGGATACTAACGTGCGCGATGGCAAATACACATATAGACCACCGGAAAGATTGGGCAAGCGGGCCTTAGGGGGGGAATCAGTAAGTAATTACAGGTGGCATAAGGGTGAATAGGTGGCGGGCGAGGGTAGGTAGTTCGGGGACGGAGAGCACGTTTTGGGCTCCTACCGCATCTCAGGCAAACGAAGTGATAGGTACCAAGGGGGGGGGGGTGCAGAATAGGGGGTCTCTGAATAGTAGGTGAGGATCGGCCGAGTTCCAGACCACACACACACTGTGCATCTATGGAAGACTGAGTGTGCCGGGAGGGGGGTTTACGTCGGCACGGGATCCACTACGCCTTGCGGACTCGCGTTATGAAATAGGCGAAATGTTGTGTTGTGTTTTATTTTTGTCACAAAAATGCAAGCGGCGACGTATGTCAACAGGCGCACAACAAAGAATCGCTAGCCATAATGTGCGGAGTGCGTTCGCTGCTGAGTAACAGAAATCTTGCCTCGGCGGTTGGATGTAGTGCCTCATATGGCCCTATGCATCTCCACTAGGTATTCATTGACCGAGCTTGTAAGTCCGCGTCAGACAACAAAACCCATTTATACATCTTCTAAATACATCAAGTATACTTGTGGGGCACTCAGAGGGTTACGGGGGGGGAGATCACAATTCCAGCGCATTTCACTGTTCAGACTGCGCGATGCGCCCGCAGCTGGGACACCGTGGTGTGTACGTCGTGCGTAGCGTGAGCGCGCGCAATCTACTTACACAACGTGTTGATCCTCAGCGGAGTGCGAGCCCGGTGCGGAACGCTCGGTATGTGCAATTTCACTATTGGTGGGGGTGGGGGAGGCGGGGGGGTTGTGATTGTCGGGGGGGCGTGCGCAGGTGCGAGCGCGGAAAGGCAACTGGCATTAGCATGGGCAGTCCCCTTACTATGCCCCCGGTCGTTTTACTCATGCGTTGGGATTACCCTCCTAATATCAGCACGGACAAAAGACTTTACTCACGACAGTACATTCAGGATTTCTGAGCTCCTGTCGAGCTATTTGCGCAATGCGGCATGAGTTGAACAGCCTCGGCTTCCTAAACAAAAAACTTCTTATGGCCGAATAACGTAACAAACTTCATTGCAAGGATTCAACGGTAAGATTACATCAACACACCTACCAGGTGCAGAGCTGAAAACAAACCTTAGGTGTTAGACCTAATACTTACAAGGGAGGGACTCACACTCAACATTCCATTGACGGCCAACCCACTATGGCTACTGATATTGTAACTGCCCCTTATACACCATGTGTCTTTCGCAAAATATCCGGAGGAACACGTCGAACTAACATGTCCTATCACACGCTACAACCTCCTGACCGATCTGGTAATGAGGATCGATTGGACATTCTTGGAAAGTGACTACCCTGATAGTGCCTGGTTTCAGTTTGTTCGACACTTCATCAATCCGGTCGCAACCGTCTCAGGAACGAAAGGATTCGTTTTATCAATCCCTCGACTTTCATCATAAGCCGAACTGGATAACACATGTCATTAAAGAGTGCAGATTGAAACACTCTAAGAGTCATTCCTGGCACGAAACGTGAGACTCCTACCTGACGCATCATAACCATTTTAATACGCTTGTCCGTGGTGACAACTCGGTCCAGCAACGGCTTGTTTGTAAGTTTACCAATTCAAAGGGCTGGTTTATAATCAATATAGCCCTATTCGAAGAGTGAAGCATGGCATCCTTCACTTAACATGACAGTCGAAATGGCACAGAACTCTGAAGAATTTGGCAATGAACTAGAGGTATAGTGTTTGCCTCCACCTCCCAAGGAGAATTTCGCACTGTTACTTACCCGCATCAACATCGCTCTGTTACCGCCGCTCATCTCTTGTGGATAATAAACTTGCGTCACCATGCCAACTACGGTTCTTTCAGAATGGAAATTAACTCAACGGTGCTGAAGGTAGCAGCAACAAAGCCGACCGAGTCATTAGCTCATTTCCTATCAAGTTTCTGGGATAGGCAAAGTGTGCCTACCGTGTGGAAGCATGGTCTTATCAAGCAAATTTTCAAAAGTGGCAATCCTTCAGCGGTCCTCCTCCCTGTATCCTCGAATACGATGGAGGGAATCGTTGTTAAGGCTTTATTCCACCATCGAGATCACCACAACACCATAGCGCCTGAGCAGCACGTTTCCGCCATCACCGTTCATACACAGCCATCCTAGTGACTTCACACAGTAGTTGAACGGAAGCGGTCAATTAAGGTAGAGGGAAGGACAACATTTACCTTTTACTCCTCCAAAGCTTTCAAGCGCTTGAACCACCGTATTCTCCTCCACACACTCAAAAGCTATGGAGTGGGAAATACGGCAGTTGTGTGGATCAAGAACTTCTCACAGAATCGGCAACTGTAGGTTAGAGTTCGGTGCGCACTTTCCGATCCGATTCATGCAGAACGTGGAGTTGCACAAGCGTCAGCTTTTGACCCCGCAACTTTCTCAGGTCCAGTAGTGAGATTCCGGGTTTGATTGCCTCCGAATTTTGTTGTTTCCTGAGAATGCTAAGATGAGGCGGGCGATCGCGGACGGAGGAGACAACGATGCATTTAAACGTGACCTGGACAGTACATATGAAGTGAAACTCCTCAAGCTGCTTTATTTTAATTCGTCTAGGAGTAAGTTGGTTTACATTCGTCATCAGCCAAACATCAAATACAAGCTAAGAGACCAGGTCTTGAACCCAATCATCCAGGAGCGCGACATTCGGGCATTAATCCAGGCTGATCTGGACTGCTCAGAATAAACTGTTAAATGATCAAAAACTGAGAACCAACACCTTGGCATGCTGCGGAAGGCATTCGGACGGATCCACTCATTTGTCCGTGCGCATTAGCTTAAGACATGTACGATCTCAAGTGGAATAATCAATCCAAGCCTGGCTGCCAAGGCCCAAGAACGTTCTCGCAGCGCTCGAGACTGAACAATGAACAATGAATTTATACGGGTTTGTAAGCTGTGTTTTACAAGTCCCGTTGGATAGTTAGTGGGAAGATCGACACAATAATAATGATAATAATTATAGTTAAACAGTTAGTACTTTAAATAAGAAAGTAAGTACTTAACGTTTGCTCCAACGCAGTCCTGCTATACGCTTAGATTCACAGCGTCCCACAGGTAACATCAAATAATTCCATGGTATACTCCAGTTGTAGGATGGAGACGTAGTGTTAAGTAACAAAGTGTAAGTTGATGAGTGCATCGTCCAACCGTCTGTTAAACATTGCTAGTGTCGGTGCAGAGACGACCGATTCTGCGGAGCATTCCACGGGTGACAGACCCGAAAGTAAAAGCAATTTTAGCGGCACTCCAGGCTGCTATACTGGACAGCGAGTTTCAATGAGTGACCGTTCAGGTTTGTATTGTTGCTGAGTTGCAGTAAAGAGCGACCCATAGTACGTGGGTCTCGCAGAATCAAGTATACCGTAACCAGGTCGCCTCGGAGTCTGCGATGGCTTTCACCGAATACCCCCAATCCTTGCAGTCTCACCTGGTCTGGCAGAGTTCGTTAATAGACTCAGCGACATCTTCCACAAAGCATCCGAAACCAAGCCCCTTCGTCCCGCGAAATGACCTTCCATTCTAAGGAGAAGGACTCGCAAATGCCTGGCGATAAGGGATGCAGCATGGCATGTCCTACAAGATTAACCCCGACTCAGAGACTTGGGGAAATTTCCTGACCCATCGCAACCATTGCACTGCACTTGTCCGTGAGGACAAAGTAACTTATCAACAGTGCCTAGCCAAAATTTTCATGACAAACAACAAACTGCTATATAGCCATGTCAATAAGCTACTTAAAGTGAAGCATGGAATCCCCCCACTTTTCACGACAGGCGGTAGAGTACAATGTGCCGAAGAAGCAGCTAATGCCCTGCGGCTAGAGTACGCCCCAATTTTCGAAATCGTAACCTCTACCTGTTCCATAATATCAAGCAAATTACCAACATCATTGTTTACAAATGTAATTTTCAACCCATTAATTTGCTCAAGGAAGTTACTCTCATCTGCGCGAGCATAGTTCTCCGGGAGCAGACAACATCCGCTCGAAGGCAATGAAGGCTGTGGCCAACAAGCTGGCTGAACCACCGTCACAGTTCCTCCATAGGTGCTTTGATGAACAACAAGTCCCCACTATGTGGAAGTGTGGCATTATCACCCCTATTTTTAAAGGCGGTGGCCGTTCAGATCCTGCAAACTATCGTCCAGTGACTCTCCTCCCTGTGCTCGCGAAGGTGACGGAATCGGTCGTCGCTGAGGCTTCAATGGACTACCTGGAAAAATGCAACATCTTGAATACCGGAACAGCATGGCT